CATTGTCCGTTGCGGAAGGGGGGAAGTAGAGGTCGAGTTTTCGGCGCGATAGCGCGACTGTGTTGGCGTAGAGGTAGGTGAAGTCTGCTGGGGATTGGAGCTCGACTTTTCGATAGTGTGGTGCTGCCATGGTGGGCTATTGTGGTTGTTGATGTTTTTTCTGTTCCCGCGACTTGCAGGAGAAATGGGCTTGGCGTTGATCCCCGCAAACGATGTCATCGATGTTGCATCGACTTGCTTTTCGAAGGTTTATTTTTTTCTATTTTCTTTACGCTCTCTATTCTTCCCTGTTCTCTTATGTTTATTTCTTTTGTTAAGATACTCTACAGCTCTACGCTTCCATCTTATATCACTCTGTCCCTCCTTCCACTGTGATGCAACCCCTTTGAGATAATGCGAGTGCAGCATACTCAAGTGATACTCTATTCTACGAGGCTCAAGGAGCCATTGGAATGCATCAACACTATCTAGAATCTCCCTTTATATACCCACACATACCATGGAGAACTCGCCTTCCATTTCCCTTGTGGATAATACCGTCCCACAGCAACCCACCGGCGAAGGAGCTACACGGCGCACATCCACCCTCAATCAGCAAGGAACGCTGACGAAGCACCTGAGCCGTGCATCCGTCCAAAGCCAGCTCACAAAGCGGAAATACGCAAAATGGCAACCCGATAGACTTGGTATCGCCTCCGACACAAACGACTCGGTCAGCCGAGAATCGTCCCAAGTGCGCGGAGGCTCGATCTCAGCGAGCTCCGCTGGAGAAGGCAGCGGGGGTAGAGATGTCGAAACAGCCGAATTTGCGCCGTCGCGAGTCTCGACGAATAATGGGAGCAGCAGCGGCCAGGTGAACGGAACAGGAGAACAAACCAACGGCCGTGAGGACTCCAGACCGCGCTCGGAAATGGATGTTCTATACGAGAACCAGCGGGGCTGGTTCGTTTTTGGTGTCCCGCGTTACTCGCACAGCTCGCTTTTGAACTTCGACCCCAGCCCCTGGATGACACAGGACCGCAGAGCCAGTCCTGTTGATATCACGAATGCCCAGCTGCCTGATCCGAGCTGGGAATGGACTTGGAAGACATGGTATGTTGACATGTCTGGTGATACCGATGAGCAAGGGTGGCAGTACTCTTTTTCGTTTTCCTCGTCTTCGTGGCATGGCACGCAGCCGTGGTTTCATTCATTTGTTCGGAGGAGACGGTGGGTGAGACTACGGACTAAGGCCCTTGCGCGGCGGTTCCTTGGTCGGTCGGACTTTGAGAAATCCCATATGCTTACTGAAGACTATTTTACCATTCATTCGTCCAAGGCCAGAGGTCGGGAGCAGAGCATTGCGGGATTGTCCCGGGTGGAATCTGGATTCTTGAATCATGCGAGCATGACGGTCGATGAGGAACCACATAACGATGAAATTGGGGATATACCCAGCTTGATGCATGCTTTGAAATTAGCTTCCATTGATCGAGAGAAGATCGATGCCCTGAAGAAATTTATTGAGCAAGGGGGTGAAGAGCTCTATTATCTGAACGACAAGGTGAGCTGGATGAGTTTCCCTAATCTGTATGTTGAGACCGGGCTAACTCTACTTCGGCGGATACCAGATACCAGACATAATGCCCATGTTCTTATTCCAGATCTCCCGCTGGCAATTCGTAACATATCTTTCTGGTGTCATTCGTGAGCTGTCCAAAACTCCCACCGATTCCGATAAAGACGCCGATACAGTCCAACGCAAGAAGGACAATCTCGCCCGTGCCGCGGAATCATGCAAGCATCATATTACTGGACCGGATGTCTTTAAAGATGACTATGGAGAGTCAGGAACGGAATTATTAGATTTGACTCCAGTAGCCAAGCAGGATACATTAATGGCTAAGCGGCCGGTCTTGGAGGAGCGTGCGAGGTCGATGAGGCGGGTTTTCAGGGGCATTCCCAAGGCTGCTGAGATTGACCATGAAGGTCACATTTATTAATGTATTAGACCCACTCCGTATAGGCGAAATAGATATTAGTATTGGGGAGAATATAGAGAACTGGCGAAGTATAGCAGCTCACCCGGCAAAGTCAAGCTCCGGCCACCGCCTACCCGTTCGGCGGCCAGCAATTTTCGGGGCAAAAAGGTCCATCGAAAAACACATCAAACAGCAACGCGCCCAATTATTGTGTCCTTTCCATTCATGTCTCCGGTGCCATTAGAGCATCGTTCCTTATGCTCTTGCGTGGCTGCCCGTGTCTAAGGAGGCCTCTGTCTGCCGTCTTGGACACTGTCGCGACTGGCCCCGATGAGCCTCTTCTGTTTCTCTATCCCCGCTGGGCTGCGCCTGCTTTGCAACGTCGACGGATATCTTCCCTGAAACCGATTGATGCTCCAGCGAGAATATACCATACTTCCGGTGCCCAATTTCGCGCAGCAGTCCGCCCCTCTCCTTCGCTTCCTCGACACTCGCGCCAATGGATTTCCTCTAAGTCTTCCTCCCGGTCTCCCAACGATCCAAATCCGCAATCATCCCCTGCGGTGATTGGCAAACATCACAGACTAGGAGAAGGCGAGGAAACTGGTGCCGATAGTTTGAATGAAAGCGGCGGAGGTAGGTTCTCCACAGGTCAGAACCAATCTGTCAATTCCCTCGCAAATGCCGAGCACGCCACTTCTCAACAACCACTACGTGGCTTCGCATTGACGAGAGCGAAGAGAATCCAGAAAGGTCGACTGCACAACAAACCCTTGAACGCCAAACTTTCGTCTCCTACCCAGCGACAACTCTTTTTACGAAATACATCGATTCGAGATCGGAAGAAGTTGCGGTTTCGCGAATATATGAAGAAAAAATATCAAGCTCGTTCAGCAAAGCTCTTCGACAATGCATGGTTTGATACCAGGGAGATTCTGGACCAAGTGCAACGTGATGTCCGGAAAAATCCCAAGAAGAGTCTGAACAAGAAGGAGATACTTGTACCAGAAGAGACCCTCGCCCTGTTCTCTGGTGTCACTCGTTATACCTTGAAAGATAATATTTGGTACATCCCGCTCCATAATGGATGTCGTGTGCACATCCTACCTGCAAGTCAGAGCAAGGGATTACTCCGTCGAGTCATTTTGAGTGCCACGGACCATATTATGGCGCTGGTGGAAGGGCATTTTACCCGCGCACAGAGCCTACAGGCTATGGGAGATCCCCTTGTTGATATCCACAAACCACCGGTTCCGATGTGCATTTCTCGGGGCGCGATGCAGCGTTCGAAATTGCCTGTACCGTTGATTCGTGGAAATTGGCATTTCGGTGAATCGTCGGATAGCAGCTCGAATTTAGACGAGATCCTGCTACCTCGTCCAGTTATCGCCACCGTGAAGGAGTTCAACGAGCACGTCGAGGATGTCACATCTGCGAGGCACCCGACGCTCGATGAGAAGGCCATGTCTCTATCAAAGCTTCCGCACGTGGTCCGGATTAAACTACATCTGAAGGCGTTATTCATGGAAGAAACATACTCCAATTACATCTCGACTGCGGCCTTGAATAGTGCACTGGAATTCCTTTGTCGACATGAGTTCCTTGAAACTGCCCGGGCCTTGTGTTCATGCACAGAGCATGTAGCTACCACTGATACATATAACATCCTCCTGCGGGCTGCTGCGCGGCGTCAAGATGTGGCTGTCTTCCGCCATTTCCTGCGGACGATGCCTCGATTACACATGCGTCCAAACCCAGAAACATGGCTCGCTTTGCTCAGTGCCCTGGTTGATCCTAGCGAAAAAGCCCAACTCATTGAGTATATGGTCCAGCGTGGTCACATGTCCAACCTTTCTACCATCCACAGCGCACTTCAGGAGACAATCCAAGATTCGCTTTTAGTGCATTTGGACAGTGGAAAAGATATAGGCTCCTTCATTGGCCTCATGACCAATACATGGGGCGCCAATTGGTTCAGTCCTTCGGTGGTTGGCCAGATGTTTAGTGTGCTCGCTCGATTAAAGGATTTCGATTCCATAGACCGCCTCATGGAAATCTGCATCGACAACAACCTCACCGTTGACAGTTATCCGCTCAGCCACATTGTGCAAGCGCTGGGCGCGAACATCCACGTCGCTTTGCAGTATACCCTCCGGTTTTTCGAGCACCCTTTGTTCGAGGTAACCTCGCAAAATTGGGAGGATTTGTTTCTGGCCGCATTCAGGCACCGCCAGTACAACATCTGCCTCGTCATATGGCGGTATGCTTGCATGAAGCGATCCGTGACCTACAAGATGAAACAAGCTGTCTTGACTTCCTTATGTCGCAACGCGTCTTTTGGTAAACCCACGAGACTCAACAAAGACTTGTGGGGTTCCGATGCTGGCAAGGTCATTATCGGTATCGACATACACCATGAAAGCTACAGGCTTCCAGACTCCATTCTGGACGATATCCCCTCCGAGTTCCGACACAATCCTATTCTCTACCTCATCGGATGGAAGCCAAGGGGTGAAAAGCGTGATCTCCAAATCCGCCTTGCCAATGCCCTCATTAAGCGGGACCTCATCCTTGGTGCAACCCGCTATGTCCCCCAGCATCCTTCCCCGATTATGCTGGATGCAGCGTCTATCTTGGATAAAGAATGGCGTGGTGTACCGCGGCCTCTGACTTGGAAGATGCAGAACGCCATCCAAGTTCCCATCGTCCGCAAAGACAAAGACCGAGAGCAAGAGAAAGACAAAAACCAATAATCTCCCAATCCTCCTCCCTTTTGCATCATTCGCGCATTCTTCGATTCTTCTACCTTTTTGACGCTAGCGTGTTGCATGAATATCCCATCTGGCGGGCTTGTTTTGGCTGGTGTTTGTTTTATGTACTCTACTCTGCCTACTTGCCCGTCTCCTTTGTATCTTATACTTGTACATTATCTGAAAATATAGAATCATAGAACTGCAATGTCCAGAATAATAGCTTCTAAATATATATACATTCATCTAATCGTGAGCGAATACATTTCCTCTTTCAATCTAAGCACCATCAAAATCTAAGCAATGCATCGAGATCATTCATGAAAACATCGTAGGTAGAACCAGGGCCCCCGCCATTTGGAACTCTCACTTCCCTCATTGAAGTAAGATCCCCATGCATCTCAGCTTCGCAGGCTAACGCCTTTTCCAACCCAACCCTTTCACCTACAGGCGCCGGAGACGGAGATAGAGACCGAGAAGCACGTATGCTGATCCCCTTTATAGAAGAAGTCGACTCCGCATAATCCCTATATAGAACACCAGACTGGAAGCGCCTTGAAGATCCCACCCCTGACGAAGACACATTCCGCTTTCTCTCTTTTGTAGTTTGCCTGTGTGCAATGTCCTCTTCCATCTCGGGCGAAGGGGACGGGAAAGTGGAAGTGAGAGAAGGCAGTAGCCGACGCATCTCCGAATAAGATGAATACACGGCACTCCAGCGAGGTATTTCGTGATCGATACCCCTTGGCAGAAAGCCATTGACGTGGAATTGGTTTTCGTGGTTATCACTAGCTTGCTGGCTGTTGTGGTTGCGATTGGACATTCGTCGCCGGGTAGGTCTTCCAAGGGGTTTGTAAGTCTTGCTAGTATCTTTATTTTCTTCGTTTTGCATACCTGTCAATTGGATCTCGCGGGACGCAGCATTGATCTTCTTTGCGACAGTGCGTGCACTGGTGATATGGCGGGGAGATATCACATCGCTTTTTGCGGGCGTGGCATGCTGCGCAGGCTATCTTTCCGGGTCGACGACCTTGTTTATTTTGCTTTGCTATCCCAGATGGGCATTGGATGTGTCTGGCTGCTGTTGGATCCATGGGGAATGAGATATTTTGAAATCTGAAATCTACACGGGGGACCTCGGCATAAACTATATATAAGAAAGACACGGGATCCACAATTTCATCAGCTCCAAGCTTCCAATCTCCGTAACTCCACCGGGATACCGAGATGAAACATGTGTAGATCCGAACTGCATGCAAAGGGAAATGTGATCTTGGCTTTGTTATTTCTATTTCGAAAAGGCACTTTGATTTTAGCCCGGGCCACTCCGTTCGATCATTACAGCGGTGTGCATACGTAGAGTCCACATGGGCTCTCACCTCAAGGCCTTTCTTCCTCCCAATTTATTATTTATTATTCTAATGGCTTCTACTCATGGTGGATGATACGCTCAATTTATTATGATTGAATATTCTGCCTGTGAAACCTACCCTAAAGCTGGCATCACACCTCCCCCAGTATCACATGCGCCTATCCAAGCACTCCACAAGTTGGAACATTTCTGTATTTAAGGCGACCTTGAAAGATTTCAGAGATCCTTGAATGGCTTCGAGAAGTCGAAGGCAATATCGTCGTGAAATCCTGAGATATGACTGAAGATAATTAGCTCATGGTAATCGGCACCGAAAATCGAACAAATATGTACTCACTAGGTTTTGGAGGCCGCTTAAATTATCTTAAGGGGCGTAAGTCCAGGTCGCCAACCGATATTTTGAGAAGTTCTTCTTCACAGAAGAAGAAATCAAGCAGATCACCTGGACAATATATTGTATTAGGATGATAAACGAGGAGATAGGATGAGAGAAGGAAAGAAGAGAGAAGCTCTCTTACCAACGTTGGAACTATAGGATATCCCAAGGCACCAGTCCACAACACCTGGATTTCTAGGTTTATTTTATAATCACAAGGTTGTATCCTTTGATATGCTTGAAGAGATTAGGTTGGATTCTCAAATCTGATGAGAACTTCTGCCCTACGACGTAGGTCAGCGTGTCTGCATGTAACACATAACAAGAATAGTCGGCCGCTTATGCGGCCTTCTCATGTCTTTTTAGATGTTCTTTTAAGGTGGATTCCAAGTACAAAAAAAGCATAGTCCGTGCAAGTGAATTTTCTATGTATAATTTTGACTAGAGATAGGATATAGAGAAGTAGGCATTGCATCCCTTATATCCCATCTACGACCTACCAGCAAACTAGGGCAGATCTATTTGACACACTCCTTGGGCAATTTATCTTTCTATACAGTGTACGTTCCTTAAGGACGCTAGCTCATGTGAGGAATATCTATTCTGGTCATTTCTCATACATTATCATGACATGTCATGCCACCACAGCTTGACAGAGCAACGAGGAAACTTCATAGCGCTGCTAACAAACAAAAAGATCAAATCAATGACCCCATATTCGCATGAGAATGTTCCCCACAGGCGTCAGGTAGACCGGGTACTGATGGCGGAAGACCATAGGGATCAACAAGTGCCGTCCGAATCGAGCCCACACCTTCTTTGAGATAGAGCACAAGCCGGTAGGCCGAGTTGCCATTCAAATAATACCGGTGGAGCTGCTTGCTACGAAGGAAGCCTAGCCGCTCGTACAGTTTCATTGCGCCGGTATTGGTGATTTCGGTTTCGAGGACGATCTGCCCAAACACGTACAAGTCAGCCACCATACCCTCAAGACCACCCCATTTGGGGACCAACCGCCATCCCCGCCGTATAAACATACCTCATCTGCATCTCGCTCGATCATAGCATCGATAGCCATGCGCACTAGCTTGGTTGCAATTCCCCGGCCACGGTACTCTTCGCGCACGGCCAGCATGGCGATATACCCTCTCAGCGGGCCGTCGCGGTGTGGCTCTAGCTTCGATACCACGACCCCGACCATCTCATCCTTATCGTCCATCGCGAGGAAACACAGGTCACCCCATTGGTATAGGAAGTAGCGGTAGACGTAGATACTGTAAGGTTCGGAAAGATCTTTGGAGATCAGCTGGCGCATTGCGGCGACATACTCATTTTCGCGCGAGTTTTCATATCGCACGTAACGAAGATCAGGAGCATTGCTCATCACAGCGAGGTCATCGAAGTGGGCCGATGGTTGGAGTTGGCGGAGAGGGGTGGGATGGGTCGGGGAGGAAAGTGAACTCTGCCATGTGATGCCGATCCGCCCGTTCGCGGACTTTATGCACTTCCATGTGTTTTATCCCCTTCCTGTTCTTGTTTCTTACTTTTTCTTCCAATTTGTTGGTTTCATTCTTAACATTAATCTTCCAGGCAAACCGATCAGGTCCTCTCCTTCTTCTGCCTCCCTCGCGGTTGGTCGCCATGCTCCGCCGCCGCACGGGCAAGGACGAGGTCCGGCCCTCTAACACAGTTAGCGGTACAAAGCCCGAGAAAGAACAGCTTCATGCAGAGTTTGTTGATACAAAATTCACACAGCTTGTTGTCAAGCCCCGGAGTAAACGTCGCAATGGGTTCATCTTCATGCTGGGCGGGATCTTCGGCATTTTCGTCGCCTTGTTCTTCGCGAACCAGCAGGAGGTCATACGCCTGGATTCGCTCATGGACTTGAATCTCGACTCATGGATTGAGGCCATTCCACAGGGAATTCTAAGTGATGTGAAAGAATTCTCGGTACGTGATTTCCAAGGGAGTGCTCTTATCTCTACAGCTGGGTACCATTCGACTGACTTCCAACTGGGATATAGCAACATGAACGCGATACCGTCAGCTATGATTCCTTTGCTGTTGGGCTACATCTTCGCGCCATGGGCGTAGAGGCCAAACACCCCGTTGTGATGATCCCCGGAGTTATCTCGACTGGCTTAGAGAGCTGGGGCACGGGGGAAACTTCGCGACAATACTTCCGCCGACGATTATGGGGCAGCTGGAGCATGATGAGAGCTTTGGTCATGGATAAAGCTGAGTGGAAGAACCATGTCATGCTCGATCGGGAAACAGGCCTTGACCCGCCTGGAATTAAGCTCCGTGCGGCACAAGGATTCGATGCCACGGATTTCTTTATCACAGGGTATTGGATATGGAATAAAATCCTCGAGAACCTGGCTACCATTGGTTATGATCCGACCAATGCGTTTACGGCTGCGTACGACTGGCGACTCTCATATCTTAACCTCGAAGCTCGTGATAAATATTTCACTCGACTCAAGTCCTACATCGAGACTGCGGTGCAGGTACAGGGCGAGAAGATCACATTGGCATCGCACAGCATGGGATCTCAGGTGGTATTGTATTTCTTCAAGTGGGTAGAGAGTGAGGAACACGGAAAGGGCGGTAAAGACTGGGTTAACAAACATATCGACTCGTGGGTCAACATTAGCGGTTGCATGCTAGGCGCCGTCAAGGGATTGACTGCCGTTCTGTCCGGGGAAATGCGGGATACAGCGCAGCTGAACGCCTTTGCTGTGTATGGACTGGAGAAGTTCCTATCGAAAGAGGAACGCGCGGAGATCTTCCGCGCGATGCCTGGTATCTCCAGCATGCTACCAAAAGGCGGCGAGGCCATATGGGGAAACTCGACCTGGGCACCGGATGACCAACCAGGTCAGCCCCTGACTTTTGGCAACCTGCTTCGTTTCCACGAGACCAACTCGTCCTTGACCCGACGTAATCTCACTACGCCAGAGAGTCTTCAGTACCTCATGGACGAGAGCGAGGATTGGTACCGGAATCAAGTCCTGAATAGCTACTCTCATGGTGTCGCCCACACGAAACGTGAGGTCGAAGCCAACGAGAAAGACCCGCGCACCTGGCTCAACCCTCTAGAGTCGCGTCTACCCCTCGCCCCAGACATGAAGATATATTGCTTCTATGGCGTAGGCAAACCCACAGAGCGCAGCTACTTCTATCAGGAAGAGCCCGACCCACTGGTCAACCTCAAGATCAGCATGGACACCACCATTACAAATAACGAGGGCGTCGACCACGGCGTTTTAATGGGCGAGGGCGATGGCACCGTAAACCTGCTTAGCACAGGCTACATGTGCGCCAAAGGTTGGCGCATGAAGCGTTATAACCCAGCTGGCACAAAGATCAAGGTCTTTGAGATGCCTCACGAGCCTGATCGCTTCTCGCCCCGCGGTGGTCCAAACACTGGTATGCTCTTCTTTGCTCCCTTATCTGCTCTTTCCCACGATATATGGCAGGCGACTAACTTCATATAGGTGACCACGTGGATATCCTAGGCCGTGCCTCACTCAATGACCTTCTTCTCCGTGTCGCTGGCGGCAAAGGCGATTTAATCGAAGAGACTTTCGTCTCCAGAATCCGCGAGTATGCGGATCGTGTACAAATCTTCGACGAAGAATAGATCGAATGGGGTGTTCTTTATGACTGTTCTGAATACTTGTTTGATTTGGCTCACGTTTTGATACACACATATACCTCTTTTTAGACATCTGGGATTTTTCTTCTAGACGGATGGGGTTTTTGCTTATGAGCCAGCATTTTTGTACATTTCGTTACGATAAACCCTTATATGAACTCATTATATTCCTTTCGATGACAAGTATTGGGCCGGTTATTGCTTATAATACTGAAATACTCAAATCATGTGAACAAGCTCCATACATGAAATTCCAGTCACCTTTGGTATTACGGATCAGCGCGGATACAGCTTCATACCTAGCCCTAAAATAGGGACTGATGCAAGCTAGCAGCTGGTCCCGTGCGACCGACAGAGCTCGGCTATTGGCCCATGCGAGAAGCAAGGACCACACTATATCCCGTCCACCGTGTGGATAATCCTTATCACACCCATGGACTGGTGGGGGTTGCCAGTGCACATGTTAGTAGGAATGAAAGTTCGAATAGCGGCCAAGTTAAAATGTTGTATACCAGCTGCGTTTACTATGTACGATGACAAGAATCCAGAAATGTAAATAATATACAATGATTCATTCATACGCTAGTGATTAAAAATAATGCTAGCAATACCCAACAGGATCTCACCCCCCAAAGTAAGGATAAGAGGCATGCACGCGACCCAACTAGGTTTCACGGGAGGCGTAAATGCATTAGGTTGTCGGATAAGCTTCAACTCTGATAGCCAGAAGCGAAGAGAATGGGCGAAGCTCGAGGGCGGGGAGATGGCATCCGTCAAAAGTACCAAAATCCCGTTCACCCTAGCTGCCATAGTTACTCGAGCTCTAAAAACAAGAGCCCCAGCTTTCAGTGTTCCCTTTCCTCGGATCTTTTCGTGTTGAATTAACACGACAAGAATCCACTCTGTCGACGCCGGTTAATCACCTGCCAGGCGACGTAGACACAAAGAGGGTAGATCGAGACGATCTTTTTGAAAACCCCCCGTTCATGTGCCGATGCAAAATGTCATAAAAACAGCCAGTATTCAAAAATCCTTCTAGTGCACAGCGAGTGGTGGTGCAGCAAAAAGCGCCGAAACTTTTCAGATAACCAGGAAAAAAAAAACAGGTTCAAGTTCCCAGGCGCCTATGATGAGCGAGCGACACGAATGGTAAAAATATTTGTTCATCTAGACGAGCCGAAAGTAAAAAAAAAGGGTGGCTCGCCCAGTTCATAAAGTCGTAGCGAAAGACATGGGTCAGAAAAATAAAGGATCGCCCGAGGGCGTCCGAGAATGTGTACAAGCGAAGGTTGCCAACGGTGGCGGTGCGGGGGATTGGCGAATGCAGGCAGGTGAACAAGGCCTGATCCCTTCCGCCACCGGTATTAATATTATAGACGGAGTTGCCAGCCCAAAATGGGGTGGCGAGGCATGTACAGCCAGAAGGTCAAGAGTACCTTCAGCTCGAGGCGGAAGTACCGCGTGAACCGAGGTTTTATTAAAAACCTTAGGGGGTTGAAGATTGCTCGATGCAGATAATGTTCCCAAACATTGTCGTCAAACATAACGCCGATTCAAAAGCAGAAAGATGCAAGAATGCACTGCGCCAAGCGACATGTGCAAGTGAAGCCCGAGGGTTAGCGTCCAGCCTCGATGTCGTGATTCGAGGTGAGAGTTTCGCTTTCCCAGGTGTAATGATCGTCCACGGGGCTCAGAGAGCCCGAGGAAACGGACGAAGAAGAGCCCACGGTCCACTCGTCGCTGTCCAAGTTGAAATCGCCATCCAAGCTGGCAAGATCATACCCGAAGTCGCGAGAAGAGTCACCGATCTCGACATAGTCGTAGTCCCAGCGGAACATCTTATCGGCCTGCACTCGGGGTAGGAACCGGGTCTTGGCAAAGTAGAAGGCAATCGTGGCAAGGAGACCACCACAGACCAGATCGACTGCGTAGTGGTGAGAAAGATACATGGTAGCCCACCACATCCACAGAGTGTAGGTAACCCAGAGGGGCTTCAACCGCGGGAAGACGTGGCTCATGAACAATGCTGCCAGGGTAGAGTCGGCAGCATGGAGCGAAGGGAATGCACCGAAAACAACAGGGGATTGTTTGAAGCCCGAAGTGTAGAGATCAATACCCAGCAGCTTGTCAATCCGAGCAAGACCAGCTGGGTTTCCCTGCATGGAATAGTCGGCTGGGGCCAAACCATACAGGTTTTCATACCAGGGTGGCGAGCAGGGGAAAGCCAGTTGAATGAAGACAGCGATCATGCTGATGTATCCGAGAGTCCGGGCGTATAGAGGGGTAGTTCCGGGGGGGCCGAAGAAGAAAAGGATCAGCGAAACGACGAATGGCGCTCCGTAATGGCAGAGTCCGTAAGGAATCCATGCCAGAATGTCAAGCACCACATTTTGGTGGGCGGATAGAATGTTGCTGATGTTGGCACCGTACAGGATGTTCTCCATGGCTGGTAACACTCGAACCCAAATGGCAGGCCGCCAATCGCTTGGAACGAATCTAGAGACACACATGTTAGCGATGTTCATACCCCCACACATCCTGCTCACGCCACGAGGCCGTGGCAGACGCATCTGCAAGAAACCTAGCAGGGAGCAAAACTTACTGGCATCCATAGAAGAAGATAAGCCATCCAGCAACGGGGAGGAAAGGCAAGAAGAATTGCCGGGTGATTGGCATGAGGAGGGAGCACAAGAGTCCAGTGGCGATCGCGGTCTTTCCCAGTG